AGGTGATCTTGAATTGCCCCTGTATCTTCCTTAAAAATGTTCTCTGTTCTTCCTCCTAACTTGTTGCATGAACAGGTAAAAGTACCCAATCTGTCCATAATTATACCAGTCTTCTGAAAGTTGCTGAAAGTGTAGCTGAAATATTCCTCCTTCTTCTTTGTTCTTCTCCCTCTCCAATTCTGTGTCTGTCCAGAAACTGGCGGTCGATATGGAACATCTGGTCCCCCCTTGGCTGGTACAATTGCCTTTGATATTGTTCAGTTAAAGCTGTAACAGTGATTGTTGATTTGATTCACTCTGATTCTTCATAACCAACATTTCTCTTCTCCACCAGTTGTATGATTGAGTTTTCTTCGTCCGGTTCTTCTCGTTGTGGACCTATCAGTATTCTTCAAAAGGTTATCTTCTAAGTTCTGTTCTTGAAATATCATGTTCTTACCAGTGGCCTTTCCTTTGGCCTCACTGTATTATTCTTCTCCTTCAATTCTTGAGGTCTTCATCCAGTCATGTTACTTCTTCCACTTCTCCATTTCTTCTTTCCTCTCTTGCCACTTCCCTCTGATCACAGAGTCACCTCCACCCATGACCTCTCATCAATCACTCTCATCTTCATCATCCTCTTCTCCTTCACGTTCCAGACATCTCATTTTCTTCCGTCTTCTGGATTCATCTTCATCGTTGTTTCTGCGGGTACCCTATCTATTATTTGTCTATATTTCTGATGCAATAATCACTCCTGGAGGATCATTGTAAGCTGAGAATAAACATCCCTAAGCTCTACTTTTTAGCCTATCTTATCGCTGGAATATTTTATCAATTTCTGTTTGAGAATGAAGGGCAACTTTTGTTTCACTTGCCGGATACCCTAGCAACACTTTAATTAAAGGATTACCACTATTTCAACCCGTGTAATGACTTTCATAGTCCTGATATCTTTTTCCCCATTGTAACAAGCCTTCTATTCCTTATTGTGAACTATCCTATTTTAGACTATATAAGTTATATAGGCTTCCCCCCTGTAATTCTTAATATAACCTAAACAAATCCATTAACAATCCTGAATAATTAACCCCAATTCCTATTCCTATGTCACCAATGTCAATTAGTGTTGGCTATCTTACCACAACCCATCAACTGCCAGTAAATGCAAGTTAGTCATCTTCAGACTAAAATACCCATAAACAAAGCCTTTAACCCCTTGCTCTATAACCCCTAATTATCATAAATTTACAGAAGAATCCTCAATCCATCCTGGATTCCCAACACATCTGTAATTAAACCCCAGTGATACACAGCTTCCAAAATGCAATTTTTAATGAAATAGTATTTGCCAAGCCCATGTAAAATTGTCATAACATCACATATTCTGTTAGGATGATTTGTGTCCCCCTTGTCGCCCCGCCCCCCCTTTTTTGGCCCGCGCCCTTTCCTTCTTTCCCCCGCCCCTTTTTAAAAAAATAAAAACCCCCTTTCCAAATCAAAACGTTTTACACCAAATATTCCTTTTACTTATTTAACTAAAAAACCCCAAAACTTTAAAAAAAAAAAATTTTTTTTTTTTTAAAAACCTTTTTTAAAATTTTTATTTAAATTTTTTTTTCCAAAACCAATTTAAAAAATTTTTCCCAAAACGTTTTTTAACCCACCCCTTTAAAAATTTAAATTTTTGTTTTCTCTTTTCGTTTTTTCCTTTGGTTTTTTTTTTTTTTTTTAAAATTTTTTTTTTAAAAATTTTTTTTTTGGTTTTTTATTTTTTTTTTTTTTTTTTTTTTTTTTTTTTTTTTTTTTTTTTTTTTTAAATTTTTTTTTTTTTTTTTTTTTTTTTTTTTTAAATTTTTTTTTTTTTTTTTTTTTCCCCTTGGGTTTTTTTTTTTTTTTAAATTTTTTTTGTTTTTTTTTTTTTTTTGGGGTTTTTGGGTTTGGGTTCTTTTTTTTTTTTTTTTTTTTTTTTTTTTTTTTTTTTTTTTTGATTTTTTTTTTTTTTTTTTTTTTTAAAATAAATTTTTTTTTTTTTTTTAAAAAATTTTTTTTTTTTTTTTTTTTTTTTTTTTTTTTTTTTTTTTTTTTTTTTGGGGGTTTTTTTTTTTTTAAAAAAAGTTTAAAAAAATTTTAAACCTTTTTTAATTTCCCCCCCTTGGGAAAAAGCCGTTAACAATTCATTTTCCCCCTAAAACCCCTAAAAGGGGTTTTTTAATTTGGTGCCTCCATCAAACCCCTTCCCCCTTACTCCCCCCAAAATTTTTTTAAAAACCCCTTGTTTTCCCGGGTTTCCCCAACCAAAAATTAAAACGTTCAACCCCCGTTACCCATAAACCCCCCCAAAAAAATCCCTAAGGAATTTCCCCGGAAAACTTAAAACTAACAATTTTAATTTAGCCGGGTCATGACTCCAGACCGAAGGTAGCTTGAGTTAGCTTTGCGACTCCAATGCAGCAAAGAAGGATTGCATCATCCCTCCTGGCAAGCTCGCCATTATGTCGTATATGATGAATGGTGGTCCGTCCTTGCTGATGAACAAAAGGAGTCTGACTCATACTGAACGTTGATCATAAGGTTTATTCAGATCACAAGCTTCAGCATGAGTAACAGACTTGCAAGGTCCGGAGAGCAGTGTCCTCCAATTCTAATGTCTGCTCTGTCCTATCTTCTTCGTGTACCCCTATTTTAACCAATGCAACAAGATGGGCTCCCTCTTCTGCCAGTTTACAATACACTTCCTGTCTATTATATGTTACATTATACTAAACATTGCCTTTTGATACTAACATAACAAACATTACCATTTCTTCATGAAAAACATTTAAAACAGTCCTAATTTCCATACACTACAATGGCTACAAGTGGATTTTGTGGATTTTCGGTGCTGACTCCGCAGGTTATTATCATAGCAACTATGCCTGGTAACAAATGGAACGGATTGGCTGAAATGGAGTCTGGGACCACACTCAGTCCTTTGCTCTGGTTGGCCAACAGAAAGAAGTGGAGGCTTTCTGTCAGAGTATTTGAAGAAGAACTTAGAACAATGGATTAGTTACTGAGTGCCCTGGCGTGGGTATTTCAGTGGACCCGTATATACGAACCTTCATACTTATCATACATACATTTTGCATATAATAAATTTAGCTTGGATTGAATATCTCTTGATTATGTTTTTCTCTTATTCCAATACCAGATTTGAATTACGCAATTTCTAACAATTGGTGACCCCCGACGTGATCTGGTAGCGGAACTTCACTTTCGCTGGAATTCACCCAGCCTATTGGACATCACTGTCATTGAACTGTGTTTCACAAATTGCCCGGGCTTCTATAAAGGTAAGCAAAACACCTATTGTAATATAACTGAAGTTTTGCACATTGGCTTTATCCAAATTAATTTGTGAAGGCACCTGTTTGATGTAAGTGAACCCTATTCTACTATAAATAACAATTACAGTATACTACTTCGATTTCATAATGTACTATGCAAATGTTTGATAATTGTGATGGTTAAACCCATGGGAGTGCGAGCTATGACTAAGGCTCATAGGAGGCACTTTAAAGTAGATTAGACAGTGCGACGCTATGACTAAGGCTCATAGGAGGTACTTTAAAATAGATTAGATAGTGCGACGCTATGACTGAGGCTCATAGAAAGTACTTTAAAATAGTTTAGACAGTGCAAGCTATGACTGAGAGACTCATAGGAGGGTACTTTAAAAGTTAGACAGTGCGAGTGTTGTCGTATGCATGAGAGTGTGAATGACAAACCTGTATACCTTGATAGAAAAACTAATTGGGAATCAAAAACGTCTGTGGCTGTCCAAACTGTATAATTTGGGGATAACTGTTGGGTTTGTGGTTGCTTAAACCATATAACCCGTTAAAAACAATTGGGAACATAAAAGCTAAAGTGATGAATGACTAGTGTGACTGAACTGAAACGGTTTGAGCTGATATGATTGAACTGTGGCGTTTGAAGTTTGACCCTGCAAAATACTGGTTAAACAATTAGACTGAAATAATTCGGTTTATCATTTCAATATAAACATGCACCACTGTTAAACTAATTAGGTGGGAATGATTTGATTTAAATAAATAGATTAAAATACTTTAAATAACCACAGAATATTGGAAACACTACCACAGCTCCTCAAAGAGCCTGCTCCCACCGGAAAGCTGAAGAGAAAGTTGCGAGGGGAGGGGCTGGAGAGAGCGAAAGTGTGGCTTGACTGTGAAAGACTGGAGTTGGCTGGGAACACCACGGGGTGATTATTTTGAGAGGTGCATGTGGGTTTCTGACGAGGGATGAGATGGGTGAGAAAGTAGAGAATATTTACATTTGCATTTTTGGTGATTTGGCAGACGCTCTTGTCCAGAGCGACTGGCAGGAGGCGATTGGGGTTGAGTGCCTTGCTCGAGGGCACATCGGCAGATTTTTCGCCTGGTCGGCTCGGGGATTGGAACCGGCGACCTCTCGGTTGTTGGCGCGGCGCTACTGATCACTAAGCTGCCTGCCGCCCCATATGAGTTTAAGGTTGTGGCGTTGTTTGATCATGTGATAAAGGGTTTAATTTGTAATCGGACCATAACTAAAGTGGTTATAGAATAAAGTAAGGTAGGGAACT